TGGTCTCTGCGGATTACAGCTGGAAAGTGGTACACGCTGGTTAATACATGAAGCCATCTTACAGTCACTGCTCTCACACCGATCTGCGAATAATATATAAGATGTGGAGATGCGTATAGGATAATAATTCGCGATGGGAATGAGAAGTATTGCGGCACAGCTGCGCTGAATTTCGTAAAAATACAAGGTGTAAATTCTCGCAAATGAGCTAGGTAAGGAAATCAGTGGGTTTCATGTGATGTGCACAGGCGCGTAATGAATTTAAATCTTTGATGCGGATTTAGCGTGCAATTAGTGCAACACCCGTTCCTGCAATTAATGCAACTGGATGACGAGCGAGTCACAGCTGCTGCGAACTATGGCTACTACTACGTGACAATTTTACATAAATTGCTAAATAGCTATCGGCTATTGCTATTGCTAAATATTTTACTAAATAGCTATCGGCTGCAAGCATCGGCTGCTGACACCTGCGCGCTCGCACGTTAGCATCGGTATAAGACCCAAGTTCATCGGCCTCACACACACGCACGCACGCACGCACGCACGCACGCCCACGCACACGCAACACGCACACGCACGCACGCACGCACGCACGCACGCACGCACGCACACACACAGCGCGCGCGCGCGCGAGAGAGAGAGAGAGAGAGAGAGAGAGAGAGAGAGAGAGAGAGAGCGAGAATCAGTAGACTCGTTGTTTACGAGCGTGAGATCGGCGAGATGCCCTATAGCGAGATAAAGAGCGAATACGATCAGGAGGTAGCACGGTGTGGGGGCAGAAGGAGTCAATTCCTAGTTTCTCAGGTAAAGTCTACGCCATTTTTGTCCGGTTTCCGGTTAATTTAAATCGGCGATTCCGAGCTTGGCGCTTCCCGATTGACTTCTTTTCCCGAATTACAAAAACATTTACCAGATAGGCCTACTTAAAATATACTATAAAACATATATACTATAAACTATATATATATGAATACTAAATATATTATACTATAAATATATTAATAATACATGTATTATATTATATTTAAAATGGTTCAAATCTTCGTCCTGAAATTAACAGTTCCCTTCCCCCACCTCCATAAAGGTTAGCTGTCAATCCATAGCAGCTATAGGAGGCTTGGAGCAAGCGCTGGGCGTTACCCAGCAAGTGATGTGTGAAGACCATCGATTTATAGATTAAAATCTACATCGTCTAGTTATAAATTGAACTATCGCTGCAGCTGTAACCAATGTTTCCAGGGCAACATTATTGTTTACTTTGCGAGGTGTGAGGCAAGGATAAAATCTTAAAAATCTAGCAGTAATCTCGCGCTTCGGTACTTACATGTGCACGCACATTGTCGACGCCTTACTGAAGCGAATTATTTTTCGAAAAC